GATTGTACGTATTCACGAGTTAGAATGATTCTTACTGTTCTTATTGATACCGGCGAAAATGGCACTGGGCGATAAAATTATTTTAATAGAATATAAACTAATATGAACGAATAGAAAGTCATGTGTAACGCTTGTAATATTGAAATACTAAATTAGTATCTACTGAACTGCTTATTGTCTAAATTGTGATACTGTATACTGTATTATGTTATTTGTTGAACTATTTACGTACTGAGTTATGATACTAAAATAATAAATTATGAAAGTTTACTGAATAAACTGATTTATAAAAATTGGTTAATGAATTATGGTGTAAATACCACGTATTTTCTGAATTAAAGAGAAAAGTATTTTGAAGTATCTCCGTCGGCAGTTTTATATTTTTTACCTACTTGAACAGATTATCTTATTATTTGTTGGTACTTACATACTTACTGACAGTATTTAGCTCATCCTATTTATTATTCATTTCCTCCAGATCAAGATATTTAGAACTCCACTCCTGAATAGTGAAAAACTTGCTAAAAGATCATTTAATTTTTATTTTAATTTGAATAGTATTTAATGTTAATTATTTTATTTTTAGTAAGTATTTATTTTAAAGTTTAGATATGTCTTATGAATATTAGATATTTTGAATTAAGTCTGTAAGAGATGTACTTTTTTTTTTATTTTAAAATTTGTTGTGCAAAATATTCTTATAGATTATTTTATTATGATATATTGTGCGTATGGTTAGATTCTGAATGAGAGTTCGACTTGTCACATATATATTTCAGCTTCCCACATAAAAATTCAGTACAGACCAACAAAAAAATCATGAGAAGCCAAATACTTAGTCAAAATAGCATTATTTTCTTAAATGAAATTTGACTCAAATGTTTGTAGCTACTGATCGAGTAGAAATAAAGCATGTGGTACACACTTATGTTCTTAAGCTACTCTTTGGTGCATGATGTCTCTTTCATTAAGGTTTGTCTTTGTTGATATTTTTGGGTTAAAAATTCGTTATTAGAAATATAATTATCGGTGTCGTATTTGATATGTAGTGTTTATTTTTTGATAATTTATTTATTTAAAAGAAATTTTATTGTATTTAAGAAGTATTTTGTTCATTAAAAAAAAATCCATATTTTAATCAATTCAATCATCCTATTTGTTTAAAAAGTTGATCAAAATGGTAAGATTTTCATTATACATTATATGATTTGAAAAAATAATGCCTTCAAAAAAATAAAAAGATTCCGACCTGCCGGATTCGAACCAGCGACCTAAGGATTAACTGTTATAGACAACTACAGTCCTCCGCTCTACCAACTGAGCTAAGGTCGGCGTGTGACTTTCTGGCTCACAAATAAATAATAGCTAATAGTGTTTTAAACTACAAAACATATATGATTATAGAATCTATAATAGCAAATAATTTGATATAATTTTTTATAAGAAAAATTTTAAAGGTCTGGTAATACGAATCTATTATGTATTTAATAAAGATATTTTCTATGTTGTTAAATATATTCTTTAAAAAATTTATTATAAAGGAATAGAGTAACTTATATATATATATATATATAAGAATTTATAAAAGATTAAAATAAACCAAATTAATATTAATAATTAAAATTTTAAAAACCATTAAAAAATTACTGATACACCAGAGCCTTGTAGCTCATTTTGCAGACATATTTCATTATGAACTTCAACCAAATCCATTTTTTTTATATACAAAAGTACTAAAAAGGAGCATTTTCAGACTGCGCAGGCTTGCAACTCCAATGGCTATAATGATTATACATCCAAAAAGTTAAAAAAGGTTGCTTGACCAAGCCAAGAAAAGCACTTTTTTATATAAAAAATAATAATAATAATTCATAATACTAGAATTTAAAGCCACATAGGAGATTAATTAACTTGTAGGTTGGATTAGATGATAAAAACCTGGTTAAAAATTTCTATTTTCACAAGGAACATTAATTAGTATACTTAATTAAGCAATTCCTTATCATGCTTATAGATTGTTTTTTCCATATTTTTAAGGTAGTAGTTATTTATATTTTGAGATTATTTGATAACGAAATATTTTTCGATAGAAATTTTATATATTGATAATAATATAATTAATAATGTTAAAATTAAAAATACATAAGGACATATAATATTATAAAGGTATGAATGTACAATAAAAAATTTCAGCTAAAAAAATACCAAACAAGAAGTGTTTCCCCTCTCACCCAAAAAAAAAAAGGAAAAAGTAAAATTGGTGCCCAAAGACAGATATTGATTAAGCATATATAAAGAAGCTAAACCTCTACTCTAGGTTAGTTTTTCTCAATACCCAGATTTCCAATTTCGTTTGTGTGTGTATATATTTTCTTCTTCTGATAAAATGCAGCCTCAAACACTAAAACTACTTAACCAAAAAACCAGTAAATCATTGATATTTGTTCTTGTTTCCTTGGTGTTGATATTTGTAGGCAAATGTTTCTTCATAATTAGGAATAAAGAAGAGTTGAGATCAGTAGCTGAGTTGGTTGTTTTGTCAAGGCACAGAGATGAGTATAAACAAGAAATGGAGATTAAATTGCCACCAAAAGACTGTGATCTTTTCACAGGGAACTGGGTTTTTGACAACACATCACATCCTCTCTACAGAGAAGATGAGTGTCAGTTTCTCTCAGCTCAAGTCACTTGTTTAAGGAACGGAAGACAAGATTCTCTGTTTCAGAAATGGAGATGGCAGCCTACAGATTGTTCATTGCCCAAGTATGTACACTTCTTTCGACTATTCTATTAAGTCAAATTACAGATACTCATCTTTAGGCTAATGGGATTAACATATCTTAAACTTAACCAATTTAGATTTACAAGAGAAAGCTTTGTAAATTTCTGATGCTTTTTTTTTTTTTGGGTGGAGGGAGAAAGGTTCAATGCAAAACTGTTGCTGGAGAAGTTTAAAGGGAAAAGAGTTATGTTTGTTGGTGATTCATTGAATAGAAACCAGTGGGAATCCATGGTTTGTTTGCTTCAATCTGTAGTTCCTCACGGCATGAAAAGCTTGAGAGACACTGGCTCTGTTTCTGTCTTCAAAATTGAGGTACAAGTATTTATTAATTTTTTACTTCTCTCCTTCTGCCAAATTAGAATATAGGTTGGCAAACATATATATATATATATATATATATATATATTGAGGAACAATCAGAAATTTGAAAGATGAAAATTTTAATGTGACCATACAGCTTTTGATTTCCTAAAAACAACTTATGATTTATTACTTTTCTATGTTAATAATCTTATAGAAGTACAGTACTACATTGGAGTTCTACTGGGCACCATTTTTGGTTGAATCAAATTCAGACCATCCATGGAAGCACAGCATATTGGACCGGATTATCGCACCAGAATCAATCAAGAAACATGGAGATAATTGGAAGAAAGCAGACTACTTGATCTTCAATACGTATATATGGTGGATGAATTCTCCTACTGTGAAAGTTCTGTAAGTACATATGTATACTTTTAATTGAATAACTAAACGTTATTATTATTGTATATATGAGTATATATGAAGATTACAGTGGATTTATTTTTCTCTTATTATGAGGCTGGTTGAGAAGAACAAAAGAGAGTTTTGATGAAGGAGGATCATCAATGGAGTTCGATGAAATTGAAAGGACAATAGCTTATGAAAGACTTCTGTGGACATGGGCTAAGTGGGTTATAGAGAATGTTAACCCTAATCACACTTCTGTTTACTTCATCACCATATCTCCTCTTCATATCATGTAAATTCTTTTTTTCTTCATCTTCTTTAAATTAATATACACATTTAAGGTATTTGTATCTTATTTCATCTGCATGATGAAACAGGAGCATGGATTGGCAAAACCCAGAGGGAATCAAGTGTGCTAAGGAGACAACTCCAGTAATATCTATGAACAAATCTTCTCAACTAAACATAGGAACAGACCGCCGGCTTCTGAAGATTGCGGATAATGTTATCCGATCAATGAAAATTACCAGTCCATCTTACTCAATATCACCACTCTAACTGAATATCGAAAAAGACGCTCAT